GTAGTATTATAAAATATTTATTAAAAAATATTTGAGCAGTATGTTCACATGAGTATGTACATTCATGTTAAATATTTCTACATAAATTAAAAATGTTACCATCAGCAGAGGGTAAATAATTGCTATACAGGGTGACAATTTGAAAACGAACAGTATTTAATATTGCCTCTACCGACGATAGTATGAAAATTTGGCGAAACACGTCAATTTACATATCAAAGGGGACAATTTTTGAGGCATTTGTTGTCGTGTTACTTTCAACCCTTTGACCCCCAGGGCACCTACCCCTAAAATTTTTAATGGCAACCCCTATTTCTTTTACCATTTTTGTGTTCCAATTCTCAAAAAAATAATGCAGTTTATGTAGAATTCTATAAGAAACACAAAAATGGTAAAAGAAATAGAGTGGTTGCTATTTAAAATTTTAGCGACAGGTGCCCTGGGGATAAAGGGGTTGAAAGTAACAGAACAATAAATGCCTCAAAAATTGTCCCCCTTGATATGCAAATTGACGAGTTTCGCCAAAAATTTTCATACTATCATCGGTAGAGGCAATATTAAATACTGTTCGTTTTCAAATTGTCACCCTGTATATTGGGTTTAATAATAAATTCTAATGCTTTTATTTAAATTTTATCCTAATTACACACAATAATAGGTTATAAAACTATATATTTTAATCCTAAAAAAAATATCCATAACATTTATAAAGCTATATGAATTTCTTTACACTAGTATCGTATGATCGAAAAAAAACGGCGCCCAGTTGGCCCCAACCAAACCAAACCAAATGTCATTGATCGTCATTTCCCAGCCAACTAGACGCCGCATATAAATTTACATATAAAATGACAGCGATCTTCATTTCATAGCCATTGCTGACGCCGTTTTTTTTCGATCATATCATATAATGTTACACAGTTATGTTATAATATACTGCCGTATTAATAAAAAAGCCTTAGCTATATTTGAGATAAACGGGTGTTATAAATATTAACGCATTTTCCAACTAAGTAATCTGACGGTATTATTATACCGTATGATCGAAAAAAACGGCGTCCAGTTGGCTGGGAAATGACGATCGATGACATTTCCCATATAAATTTACATATAAAATAACAGCGATCTTCATTTCATAGCCATCGCTGACGCCGTTTTTTTTTTCGATCATAGGGTATAAAGTACATTATTTAGAAATATGCATAAACGAAAAAGATATGAACTTGTTCAACACATCAGATTAGACAATATTCGTTAACACGGCAGTAGAGGTTTACATATTTTATTTTTTTATCTGATAAAAAGAAATAGACTAAACATATTCTTGCGCTAAGATTTTTTCCAAATAATAAAGAATATTTTGAACTTATTATCTAAAAAATATCTAAAGGTAAAATACATCTATTTTTTTTTGTTATCATTGATGAGCATTTTCATTTACAGCGCTTTCAGATGGAGCGGACCATCCGCGACTTCGAGCAAGTACCATGAGTTTATATGAACAATTTCACATGGGTTGCGTATGTTCCGTCCGGATGATTTCGATCTTGAAAAAACACGCGGACAATCCGCGCGGATGCTCCGCTCCATCTAAAAGCGCTCTGTTATTAATATACCGTATGATCGAAAAAAAACAGCGTCAGCGATGGCTATGAAATGAAGATATTTGTCATTTTATATTTAAATTTATAGGTGTCGTAACTAAACTAACTGGACGCTGTTTGTTCTTCGATCATATAGTATTACATTTTATTAACAATAGTTATAAATAAATATATTAAAATCCAAGTTGTTGGCGGACATGCTGATGTCTGTGTGGAACTAAATAAATCTTCTAACTACCCTTCTCAAAAGTCTTGATTCTGTAAAAAAAAAGTATAAAAAACAATTAAATACTTGATCACTAACAAGCATCGATTGCATAAAGTACGCAAAGTAATGTAAAGAACTTTTTTTAATAGTAATAGAAGAAAAAAACATAGTTGGGTAATACCCATAGTTGTATATATTATCGAAACCGAGTAATATTTTAATTATAAAATTAAAAAATTGTTAAAAACTAAATTAAATATAAGACCCTTAGTTTAGGCAACTCTATATACATGTTAATGTATTTACAGTTACCTCAAATTAAAAATAATGTAATTTTTAACGTATTTCTATTTACGTAGTTGCCTATTCAAAAGTAATTAGTGCAGCAAAAGATTTAAATTTGAAATTTATCATTTATATTTTCATATTATACAAAAGACAATAATATTAGATTTTTAACTACTATCCGACTTAAAAAACACTTTTTAATATAATTTACCTCAGAGACTCATTGCAATTTTCTTCATATTTAATTAAATTTAAAAAGGATGGAATCCACTGACGAATATTAAAAACCAGTCAAAATATATTTACCCAAAAGAAATATTTTAGATATACTTCTAAGTCCTGATGCCATTGTTGGTAATATTCACGAAAAGGATAAATATACTGCCCTGGAACTGTATACATCCATTGATTTGTTGTCAAAAATCTGTAAAAAAAGAAATAAATAATATTACATTACATTAATTATGCTATAGTTGTGTTTATTAGTTTTTTCTTTCATATTATGGAGTAAAATATATCTTAAAAATTTGGTTAGAGTGTTAATAAACATCAAAAAATTTATTAAAATTATTTTGAAATAAGAAATTAAACTTACTGTTAATCAAATAATCGAAGACCAACTCAGAAAACCAGAATGATGGCCAAACATCAGGGATTATACAAGAGATGACCCAGGTCTCCTCTTTTAGGTGGTCTTTGTGTGCTGGTGTGTATTATTAATAACGCTCCTAAAAAGAGAAATATAATTATTAAAACCTCTTATATTAAACAATGCGAAATTGTTTACTTAAATATCACGACAGTAGTGAACTTGTGTAAAAGTAGTTCATTTATCTAATAGTTTAAATAATAATTGAGAATATAGACCCCCTTTAGGTATATTAACACCGACTCATTCTAAAAGACGTAGAAAATACTTGTTTGTCTAAATTCCTTCAGGAGTTAAAAGAAATAATCAAACTCAACCAAAAATAATGAATCAAAAAATACCAAATATCTCTAATTATAACGCATTATTCTAAGTAACTTTATTTTTAATATACAATAGAGACATCAAAGAATGTATCTGTATTTCCATACACTCAATTTTCAAAAGAAAATTATGAAAATAAGAAAAATATATCAGCTTTTAACGATGATGTAATTGAAATACTTAAAAAGTGAGAAAACTATAGAAAACATGCAAAATAATGGGCACTTACATTTCCAGTACATTAAGCAAGCTTTTAAGGAACAGAATACACTCAAATAGTGTACAGAAAAATCACTTTTTCTACCAAAAAATAAGAAAAATTGTAAGAGGGACATAAATATGTAAACAGAAAATGTTGCACTGTCAACGTTGTCAGATTGAGCAAATGTAAAATAAAATAACAATTTTTGTGCATAGCAAAAAAGCTGTGTCTAAAGAAATGTTACTTATTCTACCGAAATAATGTTTATATTCTGTGCCTATTAGATTTATCATTATTTTGCAACGATTAAATTCATTTTAGACTTAAAATAGACTGAATCTTTTAGACAAAAATATTGATTTATATTAGTTTCAGGATTTCACTAATATCTTGACAACCTTGGAAACACACTAGTTCCAAATTTTCACACTTTTTCCACATTGGCGCCACCTGCACCCTTCTTCTTTTTCGTTTTTCAGGTCTTAAAAGAACCGAAACCACAGAATTAAAGTAACGTTCCTCTTCTTTTTTATATTTACGATATGAAACATGACCAACCTCTGTGCCAGCAACGGTAATAAAAACAGAAATCTTTAGTTTTGGTTTGTCAAAATCGGCGCCATCTAGGCACATTTATGACAAGTAAAAGTTTTGGCGTCATCTGTCATTAACGAAAGCAACATATTAAGTTTTACAGTTAACTGTTATTTTGCAGTTTTCAACTCAAAATAGAGATTTCTATATATTTATTGTTAGTAGAAATCTTTATTTTAAATAAGAGCCATCTTTTGCATGAATTTTCAACTTAAAAATTCAAATTACAAAGGAAACTTGTTGAATCATTAAAAATCTTAAAAATATGTATTTTAAATAAATAAATAACAAATTAATGCAATTGATTGACGTAATTGAAATGTAAATTTTAATTGTCAATAATATAAAAGCTCTGAATTTCGTGAAATATCTTATTTTAAATTAAAGAACTTTTAGTAACAGTTCGTAGTTGCTTTTACCTGTGCTTTTATAAATAAAATAGAAATATTTAAAATTTTGTAATGCCTAATTACTAGTCAAAAATAGTCAAACTGTTTTATTTGTAAACAAATATATAATTTATATCGTATGATTGAAACAAAACGGCGTCCAGGTAGCTTGGAAACGACCATCGATGACGTTCCCCATATAATTTTAAATATAAATTGACAGCGATCTATATTTCCAATTTTCCAAGCTATCTCTCTGATGCTGTTCTTTTTTCGATCGCATGGTAGTTTTGTAAAGATAAAATAATAAGTTAAAATAACATATAGGTGCCTAAAAATAATAGAGAGGTTTATTAGAATAATTGTAAAAACATTTCTGGAATGCATTTAATTGTATATCGAATTTCAGTTCGATGAATTCGTGCAGTATTTTTCTGGGTTTTATTCCATACCATATAGATTAATCATTTTTAGATCGTTTATTAATCAACACTCTCAGAGGAAAAGGTTAGATAACAATTCGGCAATTTATTATTAAATCTGCATCGCATTATTCCAGAAGCGCGTTGCAATCAACTATATATTCCAAAAATAAATCTCAAAGTAAATTTCCAAAATTGAGTTTATAATTTACATATCTAACCACATATATGCATAAAAACAATCTGTAAATGTAAAGAATCAAATATATCAAATAATGCGAATGATAAAGAATCTATTATAAATAATGTATAATAGTAATAATGATAGGAACATGATAAGCACAGACTATCCAACAGTATGACAGTTGTGTGTTTCCTATTTATTTATAACAGGTAAAATGGGATTTCTGCCTTTTTTTGGTTCGAAAATAACGCGAATGATGATATTTCCCATATAATTTTACTGACCTGCGATTGAAATTGATTGAATCGACTGAAATTATTCATATTTCCAAGCCATCTCTGACGCCGTTTTTTTCGATCGTATGGCATAATCTTACATATTATATGCAAATTAATAAGCATTCTTGAATGCTAGTCGAGCATGGCGTGCACTTGGAGTTTTATTTATATCTTTTATTATTCTATTCTCATAAATAAAAAATACTTATTCAGAATAATTTGTTTAAATTCACTGTAAAATATTCTGTGTTCATATTTAACGTTTCAAATAAAGTAAAAATTGTCGATTAGGGGAAAGTCGTATAAAAAGTACCGAGTAACGACTCCTAAATCGTACATTTTCAATATCTGGTTTAGGAATTGCATTGGTGAGATACTTTATGATATATTTAGTATTAGTATTTTAATAAAGCACGCTTTTAGATGTTTCAAAAAACTTTTAATAAGAGTAACTTTAACTCTACATACGGCAGTTAGGTTTTTTCAAGAGTTTTTAAGAACCAATCGTCCAACCACACTGTAACTATATATATTAGGGGTGGGTTCATAGAGTTTTACAATAGGGGTAATAAAAAATGTTTAGATAGAAATCCCTTGTTGGTCGTTAACATTATTTTTGTTTTTTAACTGTTTATCGCTAATTAGCGTCTATTTCAATGTAATTTCTGCGTCTACCTTTTGTTTGTGTAGTAACTTAATTGAATTTTGTGATTATTTACTATACAATGAGTTGCAAGACCAGAACTATGCTGGAGATTATTAATAGACTTTACATGTTCTTTAATCCTTATATCTAAATTTCTACCTGTTTGGCCTATGTACAGACACTGTAATACATAGTCAATCACACCAATCCTGGCAAATCAAAATGTCACCCTTTCATAGTTTAATTCATAGATTAGTAATGTTTCCACTGAGCCCAGAGAATTTTAAAAAATAGTTAAATATTATTAAACAAATCGCCATCAACAATGGATATAAGTGTTCCCCTTATTGATAATATGCTAAAGAAAAACAAAAGAAAATATTAATGAAAATTTTTATTCCGCTAATTCTAAAGACAATAACAATTATCGACTTTTAAACTACATTCCTAATTTAATTAACAAAATATCAAATAATCTCAATAAAATAGGATGTAAAACTATTAACGTAAATAAAAGAAATTTAGGTCAAATTTTATTAAATAATAAAGACAAAACTAATGTCAAAAATAAGTCGGGTGTATACAGGGTGGATTGCAATGATTGTGATGCCGTGTACATAGGCCAAACAGGTAGAAATTTAGATACAAGGATTAAAGAACATGTAAAGTCTATTAATAATCTCCAGCATAGTTCTGGTCTTGCAACTCACTGTATAGTAAATAATCACAAAATTAATGAAAACTGAATTAAGTTACTACACAGAGAAACAAAAGGTAGACGCTTAAATTACATTGAACAGTTAGAAATACTAAAATCTGTTAAAAACGAAAATAATGTTAACGACCAACAAGGATTTCTAAACACATTTTTATTCCCCTATTGTAAACTCTCTGAACCCACCCCATAGCAAATAATATATATATATATATATATATATATATAGTTACTGTGTAGTTAGACGATTAGTTCTTAAAAAACTCTTGAAAAAGGCCTAACAAGCCGAAACATATATGTAGAGTTAAAGTTACTCTTATTAAAAGTTTTTTGAAACATCTAAAAGCGTGCTTTATTAAAATACTAATATTTCAACGATGTTTCACAAGGAACCAACCACAGCTTCAGTACAATTTATTATATATTTAGTAGTTAGTAAGCCCAACAAGATCTCGAGGTTACAAAATAAGGTCTTTCTCAGGCACCAGGGGTGCATGAAGAAATAATATACATATCAAAAATTCTTTGTGTTCTAATATTTCGATGACTTATGGTAAATATTTCAATGATGATTGCATAACAAGCAGAGGCGCAACTAGGGGGGCAGGTGTCGTATAAAATTGATTTTAACCTCACATGAATCTTATCTTATAGTGATCTAAGCCCCCCCAAAAGACTTAAGCCCCCCTAAAAGTATATGTCTAGTTGCGCCCCTGATAACAAGTACTACTGTATGGGTGCTCAATGTTTACTAATACGATTTAGCAGCCAGAGCGTTGAATTCATGATTACTAAATCTCGCTTAAGATGGGCTGGTCACTTTATATGCAGGATGAAAGAAATTCGCCTACCAAAATCTCTTCTTTACGTTGAGCTTGTAGACGGTAAGAGGAAACCAGATGGACCACTCAAAAGTATAAGAATATTTTTCAGGAAAACTTACAGGAGATACTCATGGAGAATCAGTGGGAAGCAGCCGCGCACGATAGAAACGCAATGGAGAAGAATTGTAAACTCAGTTAACAGCGCCAACCAAAAAGTGAAGAGGCAATAAAGTGATGAGATTTTTGAATGTCCGGAGTGCGGAAGAGGGATGACATCAAGTGTCGGGCTTTTTAGTCACAAAAAAAGATCATGAATGAAAACGCCTTGCGTAACCATCTTCTGATGCGTGTCAAATACTCGTCAGCGAGTAATGCCAGTAGTAGTAGTATATACGATTTAGGAA